CACACACACACACACACACACACACACACACACACACACAAAGGGGGTCCGAAAGGGGTCCAAAATCCCCCGACAGGTGAGTGAGCTGGGGGGGGCCGGCCCCCAACTGGGTGCCCTGCCCGGCCAGGCTGCCCGGGACCTCCCGCGGGCCCCTGCCGGTCACCCGGGAGGCCCGGATCCCCACTCAGAAAATAATAATAATAATTAAAAAAAACCTGCACGATTCCACACAGGCACCACTCCACACGGAACTCCGCACGAATGTGCGGCTCGTGCGGTTGCAAGTATGGTCATGACACGTGCTGTTGAAAAATGTTCCCATGACCTACAGAAAACGACCTGTGGTTGGGCACCATAGGCCTTTTTCTGTGCTATTCTGTGCACATTTCCACGCAACAGAGGCTTTTCTCTGTGCTATCCTCTGCAATGTTTTTCCTTAACCTCCTCCCCCACTCCCCCCGCCCTCCCCTCTGAAGAACAGCTCACGAAATAGATTTCATCTTCTCTACTTCTCAGGAAACATTAATCTTTCCTGTATGTTGCGACATACCTATCAACTTAAGGAGTGCACTTTCATCACTAAACCTGCTCCAGTCTGCCTAGAGCAGTTCCAGTACATTGACTGCTGATTTAAGTGAACCACCGGATTCCCCTGAACATCGCACATGTGTTGTATTTCTAGGAAGATTGTCACGCCTGGCTGGTCCTGCCCAGCCCGGCACCCAGGCGTGACGCCCGGAGGGTTCTGGACCCCAAATCCAGGCTCGGCGTCATTTGTTACGATCCTGGTCATTTCCCAAGTGCAAATTCACAATGAAAGACCATGCCACCCAATTGCGAAAGAAATGAAAGCACTTGCAAACAGATAAAGACCAGAAGAGAGAGAAAGAAGAAGAAGAAGAAGAAGAAGAAGAAGAAGAAGAAGAAGAAGAAGAAGAAGAAGAAGAAGAAGAAGAAGATATGCACCAGCAAGACCAATGACAATTCCCCCTTCTCTCTCCACCTTCCTCCTCCTCCTTCACTTCGCCAATCTTATTCTTCTCCCAACAATAATAATAACAATGAATGGATTGCAATCAGACTCGTTTTCAAACACACTTTTCACACATGTAAACAGTAACGCAGCACACTGGCGACATGCGCCCACTCAAAACTCAGAGATATGG